GGACGATTATTCTTATTGCAACCTTGCTAGGGGACACTGAAAAAAAAAAAGAAAAGAAAAACAAGCCATTTCAAATTTTACATGTATATCATGCAATTTGATATCCGCTTCGAAAAACATTGTCTAATGTCTCCTTCTGTTTTTAAAAAACAGGAATTGTAAATTGTTTTTAATAAGCTGATATGAAATACTGGAATTTCAAAATGTCTTTCTCTATATGAAGATTTAAATATAAATTAATCCTGATTATAAATACCTTTCCTCATCACACATTTAAACTTTTATTATTATTCCTTATTCTGTTATTATGTCCTTATTCCATTTTCTTTTTCAACTTGCATTTTAAAATTATTTTCCGCCGACAGGAAAGACAGATCAGCTGTGTTTTCCGTTCTTAATTTGGAAATGAAAACGGAAAACAGAGCAATGTAATTTCCTTTTTTTGCTTTTTGAAGAAAATAAACGGCTTGCTTGATGGAACAAGGACCACCGAGTTTCCATAAAATACCTGAATATTTTCAATATTTTAAAATACGACATTTTTGGTACACTATATGCGGAATTTGTTATTTGTCTTACGTCCATAATTCTACTCCAGTTTTGGTGCTTGCGCAGTGCCTCCTACTGCAGCCATAGTGTTAGGATCCATCTGTTGATGTCTAATCAATGGAAAAGCTTCTTACATGCAAAGGGCAGATGTGATTGGTTTAATTTTGTTCTTGGTGTGCTCAACAACCAGAAGGGTCACAGAACAAAGTAAAGGGAGTGGGTAATGCAAAAACAAAATGTCATTTCACAAAGGGTTTGAAAATTTAAGATTGAAAATAAAATGGAATAAGGAATAACAATTCTAAATTTGTTATTAGGAAAGGTATTTATGATCAGATTCCTGAATTTAGCATTTAAATCTTCAGTTAGAAATAGGATTTCAAAATACTTATTCAAATTCCAGTATTTCATATCAGATTTATGAATACATTTTACAATTCCTCTTTAATAATTCAATTTAAAATGCGCAATAAGAAAATGCTTTCGAATTGCATGATTTCAATGTTAAATTTGAAATGGATGTTTTTCTTTTTCAGTGATTCTCTAGGTCTTCCATACACGACAACTAACAGTACAAAAAACATAACTGACCTAAAAAACAATTACACTCATATATATTCAGGGCTTTTTAGTGTGGACCAAAATCAAAGCCTTGTTTTGGCTTGGAAAACATGCAAAATGAAATGGAGGAACGGGTCCACCCCTTTTTGGTCCACTCTATAAAGTCTTGAACTCAACGCTATCAGACATTTTCAATTGAAAAAGCTTTTTGGATGGGAAGCGAAACGTCTTCAAACTTGGAAACAAAGTCCAGTGCTTTGCTGCCATCTTTGTAAGGGCAAATTCCAAGTATTGTGCTAAGGCAATGAAAAGAAACAATTTTCTAATAATGACACAAGCCGACTTTTTTCTCAGAATTCTAAATTTAATCTCAGGATTCAGAATTTTTTTTAATCAGAATTCTGACTTTGATCACAAAATTCTGAAATTTTTTTATCAGAATTCTGACTGAATTCTCAAAATTTGAGTTTTTTCTCAAAATTCTGGCCAAATTCTGACAGCTAACAAACATGTTAGCATCAAGTCGTAGCCTTATCTACAGACTAAACTACCTCTCTTGTTTTAATCTCCTTCTGCTGTTCCATTAATGAAATAGCATCACTAGGACCCCTCGGGCACGTAAAAAGTCACCTAATTCCGTCATTTTCCACCAATGTGTTACTGGCCCTCCCAAACAACTCACATCTTTGTCAGTGAAGCTGAGTGCTCCCACATCTCTTCCTTCATGGTGCCCATCTACATTCAGATCCAAAATTCTGAGATTAAAGTCAGCATTTTGAGAAAAAAGTCAAAATTCTGAGAAAAAAGTCAGAATTCTGACTTTTATTCCATATTAAACTGAAATAAAATTCAAAAATTAGTTAACCTTTTAGAATTTTTTCAGTGGCCCTAATCCTCTACCATACACAAAAAACAAAAAAAAAGTAAATCTTTTTCAATTTTTTTGGCTTTGAAAAAGCTCTAACGAACCACAAGGGGGGAACTAACAAGCTTTATGCAGCTCTGGAACCGTGGGTTGCTGACCCAGGGTCTAGAAGAACGATTCTTTCTGTCCTCCCATGTTTACTATCGGCCACATCTTGCTCACCACTTTGGCAAAGTTTTTACCAATCTTTAAACGCAGTTCCCCAATATTACAGTCAAAATTCTTTAAGCACACCAAGAAAACATGTTTTGAAAGAGTGAAAAAAACTGAAACCCATGCATACAGTACATTTTCTTCTTCTGTGCTTTTTATTAGACAATCACATACAATCTCTGTGAAAATAGACAGAAGCTTGTGGTTGTAAAGCAAAGTTCAAAAAGTGCTAGCGGCGAAAGGGTATGAATAGTTTTGCAGGGCACTTAGTTGGGTCACACTGTGAGATCCACCATGATCAAGAATACTTGGCTCAATAAACAGACATACTTCTGGTGTCCCTACAGAACAACCTTGGGGAATGGCTGACAGCTATAGGTCTGAACCAGTACCACCAGGTTTTGGTGCAGAATGGTTACGAAAACATTGACTTCATCACGGACATCACCTGGGAAGATCTGCAGGAAATAGGCATCACAAAACTTGGTGAGACACAGAAACGTTTTGTTGAGTGTTGGTCCACTGTTTGGTTTCCAGCAATCCCTGATCTTCATGTTAAAGCTATGACCATCAGAGGGTTTCCAGCAATCCCTGATCTTCATGTTAAAGCTATGACCATCAGAGAGTTTACAGCAATCCCTTTTCTTCATGTTAAAGCTATGACCATCAGAGGGTTTACAGCAATCCCTTTTCTTCATGTTAAAGCTATGACCATCAGAGAAGAATGATGCTTTGTTTATTCTCAATTATCATCTTTATAGCTTGCATCTTTGACCTATACCTGCATTTTAAGTACATCTACAGTATGGCTTTTACATACATTCTATTTTGAGCACGCAGGATTTCTAAGTAGGACTAGCTTTTTATCTTGACCTGATGCATTGTTTGTTTTTCTCTACATTTACATTTGAAATGTTGTATTTCATGCTTTTTAGCCTTTTAAAGTCAACTAAATGCAATATTTTTTGTTGAAGCACCTTTTGCCATCAATCAGAGCCTCAAATCAACATGGATATATCTCTACGAGCTTTGCATTCCTGTTTTAGGGTGTATTTTTTTTTATCACTCCACCCTGCAGAGCCCCTCTATCTCTGTCAGACTGGTCAAAAGTGTTGGTAGATTTCCATTTTTAGGTATTTTAAGAAGTATTGTTTTCATTAACAATGACAATGACGAAATAATTTGCTCATCGCTCCTTTTTTTCCTGACGATAAAAAAAACTGACGAGCTAAATATGGATCTTTGATGACTAAAACATGACTAGTCATAGGTTTGAGTTTTCGTCACGAGACGAGACTAAATAAAAACGTTAGCGGGTGGTCGGTATGACGTTTAAAATGCATCATTGTGCGGTAATCAGCAAATGGTTCGCTCTCAGCAGTATGGCTCTTCAATCGCTACTTAATAAACTATGTGGCTGATCATCCTCTGTCCCTTTGTCTAACTATCAAGATTTTATTTTATCCAGCTCACAAGAGGTGATGCTAAACATTCTATAATTTCTACCAAACAAAATCCATAAATCATATCCAAAGAGAATATTTCACTGAATTCTGTTTATTTTTTGATGAGCCTGATGAAAAGGTACATAGATCTCTGAATATTTCTCTCTCATTGTTCTCATTTCTATTTAAATATGATGTAAATGTTTCCTTGCATTGTCATTAAAACATTTTCTGTTTCCTTTAAATACATCAACATTTTAGTTAGCATAATCATTCAGGTTAGGTCTGGATTGTCTTGGATGTCTATTGCTTGTTTTCTATTAGTACCTTTCTACTTGACACATCTTGAGTTGATTCTAATCTAGATGATTTTGGTTCTTTTACCCTTACAATTGAGCACCAACTGACAAGATGAAGCACTCTGGATAAATACAGGAGAGAGATGGAAAGCTGGTGTTAGGGGAAGCTAATGTTACCCTATCCCAGCTTGTAACAGTGACCATAGACGCAGTCTTGAGAGAACAGTGAAGTTGAATAAACTTCAGTGCTATTGAGTAAAACAGTGCTATTGAGCCAGAACAGTGGCAGTTTATCTTCTAGACTGTTAGCTGAGAAGCCTGGTGAAAAAAAGCTTAGCTTTACTTTAGAGGTATTGGAATATTTAAGGGCTGCGTTTATTTTAGTGATCGATATTGAGCTGAATTCTAACTCCTTTGTCACTACTAAAGGTCACCAGAAGAAACTGATGCTGGCCGTAAAGCGGTTGGCAGAAATGCAGCGCGGCTCAGATGGACGTGGTTCCCTTCGAAAGAAGCCACCTCCAATCACGCAGCAGCAGGAAGTCATCTCAATGGACAGCCCGCCTCCAGACGGTGAGCTGGGAATTTACTTAAGCCTCTTTCACAGTAAAATTTGCAGATTAATGCAGGTTTTTAAAGGTACACTATGCAACCGGTGTTGATTTTCCAGCGAGGCTCCCCCCAGAGGGC